AACAGCCTGTTTTTTAGCAAAAGTCAAGAAAGCGGAAAGTCATTAAGTTGTTTTCATTATCCGAGCATTTTTGCATCCACAGTTGATGTATTAGTGCTCTTTATCTCAGCCCTGGGGAAAAGGCCTGAACTTCCCTTTAGTTTAGACTAATGCACCACTTGGCTTCTTTATTTGCTAACAACACAGCTGTTTTAGGGCCTTGTCATCTTTATCATGTGACAGAATCAGTTAATTATGATTTGTTTCAGATGAATGTGATGTAAAACTGGGACTATACCCTTTTTACTTCTTCTCAGCCATACACTTGTCTGTTGAAGGAGTATTCTTGCTATCAAGTATTCTTGTTAGAGGTGTACAAATTTATAGATTTATTCTGATTCATCAATCTGAATGTGGTGATTCAGCTGTGTTCGTCTTGGAATACTTTACATGGTCAAACTTTCATGCAGCTAGTCAGAGCTGCATGCAACACATTCAGTTATTCCACTGGTTAGAAAGATTAGTAGCTGGTATTTTGCATATATCACATTGTTCTGACTCTATACATGATCTGTGATGTGTTATTTAGCCTATATTTGCATATTTCTATGTTTTATGTCAAGAGAAGAACAAAAATAGTTAGTAACACTAACTGGATTCCAGAAAATATGCAACATTATTCTAAGAGATCGTTCTGTGTTGAAGTGGAGTTTTAAATTAGTTTAAAGTGAGTTGCAGGAGACTTTACATCATGCAACACAAGTGAAATTTAGTTTGTGTGAAATTCTCACCATATAAAGCCAACATTGAATTTATATTCATTAAAGCATGCATTCAGGTTCTTGGCCAAAACTGCGTTGTAGATTATTCTGACAGCTAAATTTTATCTTCAGGTTTTTTTAAGCTAATCAAATAATAGTGAAATTTTAAGGTCTGTGAACCGCTGAATGATCCATGATTCCATTTGAGATTTATACTCCTAATTTGAACTCATCTGTCACTGCTGTATGAAGTTGTTTGATCGTGTTTTAGTGTACCTGTCACAGTTCAGAGCTTTAAGTTATACAGAGGCTTCACTTCTTTACTTAAGCTATCACTGATAGTGAGAGAGTAATGTATCTCCACTAGGTTCAGGCAGACCCACTAACTCCTCTCCATATTCTATCTTCCAGACAGCAGACTGTAGCTTAATGTATGGTGGAGTTGGTTAGGATAAAGAAAGCTTTTAACCAGGATCATAGACAGGTTTGGAGAGATGGGAAAGTGTAGGAGTGTTAAATAAACACACACTTCCAGGGCTTGGGCTGAGATTGTCTTGAGCACTCTGTAACCCCCGCTCTCATTTCTCTTCATATCTCTCAGCCTGTTTATCTTTGGCTCATGCCATGCCTCCTGTCTTTCTGTTATTTTTACCCCACTCCTTTCTCTTCATTGTACCTTTTGTCCGCTTCTATTTCTGTTATATTTATATGGCTTCAGCTCTGTTGCACAGTATGTCATTAAAGGGTCAATCCGGCCTAACACTTTCTGGTGTTATGCAGCATTATATGCTTAAGCCTCACTGGTTTGACAGAATTCACTATATCATGTTTTTGTTCTTCGGAGTTCTCTCACTGCAAGAACTAGCATGCAATACTCAAATAACTCATACAACCGTTTTGGTGCTCAACTAGTTCTCAATACTAGCCTGGCCATTTACCAACAGTTAGCCTAAGCAACTTAGCATTAGTGTAACTCTTTCTTTGGTCATCCCAAAAAAATCAAAATAGCTCACTCCCAAAATAAACCCCCAAACTGTTCCTGTCACCTTCAAGATACATCATCAGAAGTTTTTTTTCTACTCTTTAAGTAGAAAAAGTTTAAACTAGAAAATGAAAAGAGTTGAAAATGTAGGATGCGTGTCCTTTTTATAGTCTCTTAGTCCTATATGCAGTTGTTACTGTAATGTTAAATGTTTTGTTAATGTTAAATGTCTTAACTACATAGTAATCATTCACATTGTGACAACTGCAGTCTAGTGCAGAATGAAAAGCATATTGTAGAGGTTCATACAAAGTGTGTCTGGCAATTTGATGTAATATCTTCATGGTTTTTAAGCATGCAGCATTTCAGGCATGTTCATTATATGTGAGCTTTTTTTGTGAAAATGTGTGTGTATAGTCATTTGCAAATTACATGTTTTTTTGATTTTCTAAATTTAAAAAAGTTAATACAACCTCTACAGAAAACAAACTTAATCATGGCATTTGTATTCAAATTTTGGTGGACAGTTTCTATTTATTTGCTGAGTTTAATACACTGCAAAACTATAAAACATAAAATATATAATGTGCCATAACTTTTGCACAGGCCACATCTTATGTTTTTTTGTGAACAGTAATAATGCCTGTACAAAAGTCAGTTCTCTGTAGAGCATGTGTTCATTTATTTCCATTTGGGAAATCAACCAAATGTGTAATTTGACCAGAGGTGCTCAAACTTTTGCATCTAACAGTAGTTGTTACATATTAGGACATTGCAGAGCACAGATGCTTTTCCTGAAAAGTGTGTCAGCCATTGTGGAAAACACAGAAGAGACATCACAGCTGCTGTTATCCTAGTTATCCCTTTCTAATCATCTACAGATTAATATTACTCCACACTCCCCCTGTGAATGTACTGCGTAATCACTTCCTGTAAGTGCTGAAGTAAGTCTTTTATACATGATATCTCTCTCTCCCTCCTCGTTGAAACGTACTGCATCTCATTTCTTTAATGCAGTCGTTCGTTAACGGGCTGCTGGCCGTATCTCCTCTTTAATATGGAGCCGTGAGCCAGCTACACGTCCTCGCCTCTCTGAAAGAGAAGAGTTCAGAGTCTTCAGGGAAATGCAGAGTGAGGAGTGTTTTGGATGGCTTAATTCTGCGGAGTGCAGATGACACGTCTTTTAATCTCATTTCAGTTATCTTTCTTCTCTTTTCTTCTGATTTCTCTTTTCCTATCTCTCTCTCTCTCTCTCTCTCTCTCTCTCTCTCTCTCTCTCTCTGAGGTTTCTGTGCTTTATGGCCATGAGGTTAAAGGTTTAAAGACACAAAGAACCTAATCTCCAAACCAGCATGACTCAAGAGAGTAAGTGAGAGAGACAGAGAGAGAGAGGGAGAGAGAGAGGGAGAGAGAGAGCGAATGGGAGACTGCCGGACGGTTTGAGTGATAGCAAGATAAGCAGATAGATGGAGAAAGCAAAGAAATGTAGACAGAGAGGAAGGAAGAGGCATTGTAGTAAAGAGGAGAGTGAGATGAGAGGAGGAGGGAAGAAGAAGGTTGAGAGGTAAAACGAGAGAGGAAGATTTACTGCACTCTGTAGAGCTGTATTAGGGGCAGACTCCTCCACAGCTGGAGTGGATGCTGCTCTGCTGGGAGGAAACAGCTTTTGTCATCTTAAAACGGGACAAAACGGGAAGCATTCCATCCTCCTGCTGCCTGCGCCCCATCGCTTTTATACTAGCACACAAAAAGTTGTGTGCGTTTGTTAAATTTTGTGGCAGTCTGTGTGATATGAGTCACTACTATGTGTGTGTGTGTGTGTGTGTGTGTGTGTGTAAGATATGGTTGCTAAAGGAATTCCAGTATGGAAGTTGTCTCTGTAGACCAGGGATGAGATGGTATAAACATTTCTTGTCACGATATCAGTGACCAAAATTAGCACATATATCACAATATTCTTAAAATATGCTTTACAAATCACTAATACGTGATGAAATCACTTAGTCATTTCACCACAGCTATTAATTTGCTAGACCTTTATTGAACCTCTTGTACTTTTTATAGCATCAAAAAATCAACTACAGCTTTAATGAATATTAAATTATTACCAGCTCTTATATTATTTGATGTTCAGATGTAAACATATGTGATTAAAAATCAAAAGCAAAAAAACAAACAAAAGACGTAAATAATACACAGTTATCAGAATTCTTAAAAATTTAAACAATGTAATTACTATTATTATAATTGGTTTTATACAGAATTTCATCAAAATTAGTCTTAGAACACAATATAAAAAGCAACAGGGCTTTTCAAATTATGTCAAAAACTGAAAAAATGACAAAAATAGAGATACAAGGTTTTGTTCTGACAGCAGCGACATGAACAAAATGAGCATTTGTACAGTGCAAGTTGTACAGTTATGCAGTGGGGGAGGTTTGCTAGGTTCTGTTGAAGTTTAAAGTGCGAGGTGTCCACTGCAGGTAATGAGTGCCTCAGCTCTAGGGGAAAGCTGTTAGCATGTCCAGTTGTGCTGGATTTAATAGCCCTGAATTTTTTACCATCTTAAAACCGAAAATATTCCATCTGAGTAGGTCATTTGGCATTTTGGGAGAGCCAACACTTTTTTCCCTAAAATGGATGTTATGGACTGATGAATTGTATTGTTGTAATGGGTGCATATAGACTTTGACTAATTGTCTTCTATATGGAATCAAAAAAAACATGTAAAATGTGTGATGGCCTGCGTGTGCAGTGGACATTTAGGATGTATGTGTTTAGTTTTACAGACTGTGTTGAGAACAGTGAGTATGTGAGAGTAGTTTGGTAAGTCAGCAGACTGCAGCACAGCTGAGCTCCAGACCCACCAGTCATTTGATCCACTTACTCACACTCTTCTGCCCTGCCAGCATGCACAACACACATGACTGTGCACAAAGTTTGCGTGTCCTTATGTAGACCAGCATTCGTCATCATGCCTGCCTTTACTGCTGCTGTCTGTTCTCATGACAGTAGACCTCAATCATGATGGTCCCCCTCCTTAACTCTCTCATTTCTCCCTCTCTTCATCTAGCTCTCTCCGTACTTTCTTTCACCTGTTTTGAAGTTGTTCTCCTTTTACTTCCCGACTGCGTTTTCTTTGACATCATGAACGTTTACAAGGCTGACATTTACGTTTTTGCTGCCTCTGTGGTGGAATGCATTAATCTGGTAATGAGATTAAAGATGAAAGCAGATTGAGTAATCTCTCTTTGTCTCTCTTTCGCTCTGGTCTGCAGGGTCTTTCAGGAGTGAGGGGATTAAGGCCTGTGATGTTCTGCCTGTGCTGAGAGAAAAAGTGGCCTTCGTGTCAGGTGAGTGTATTCTGTAACTGCATTTTTTTGGAGCTACACTCTAAGCAAAAAGGGTTCTGTACAGCATCAGAAAAAGGTTCAGTGACGTTTAACATCAGCGAAATGCTTTTTGGTGATATATAGAACTATTTACTGAAACATAGAGGTTTTCCACCATGAATAAGAAACATTTAAAGCTACACTGTGTAAGATTTGGGGTAAGTAATGCTTTTACTTGATTCAAATATGCACATCATTTATATAGGAATAAAATACAGTACATCAACACCATTTGCCAGAAGTAAGTACATGTTTAGAAAGTAAAGACAAAACTGTGTTAATGTGATGTTTTATTGATATGGACAAGTAGTACATATTTAAATCAAACAAATTCAATGCATCACTTTATTCAGTCTAGAGAAAAATGCAGAACTGGCCCTGGATCAATATGAGGAATAATACATCTCTGTCTGTGGTTCAAATGAGTTTACAATGATTGCCTGTCTGGGTAGAAATAGACCAGAGACATTCATATTTCGAAGTGTGCATGCGATTTAGAAGAGAGGAGTGTAGCAAACATAAATAATTAACCATATTATAATGAAAATGCAATTGATTTGATGAATTAATTGATGAACTGCTGATTTCAGACCCAGCCTAAGTTTGCTACAGGTGTTGGGTTGAAGGTGGTAAACTGAGGGCCACCAGTACTGGAGTGGCAAAAAGACATATGGGAGACCTGCATGTATACCACCAGAGCACATCCAGAGTCATGCAGAAGCTGTAGCTCTATTGTTCAGGTCTCAATTTTCTGAGCTCATGATTCAGAAACTGCTATAAGTTACTCACTAATAACCATTAAATTGATATGAAAGTTATGTATGTAGTCATGAGAGTGAAGAATTGAAGCCCCACATAGAGGCCCCTACAGTTTAAGGGTTTAATACTCAGTAGGCAGGAAATACGTTTGGGAGAGCTAAAGAAAAAGATGCAGAATATCATAGGAAGCATTTATTGTAAATGTATTGAATGTGCAGAAGTACAGTACAGTAAGTCAGAGACCACCATTCATATGTTTGTTTTCCAGTCAAAATGGCCATTATATACATTATTCAAGTACATTAATAATTTATCATCATCAAGAGCATAAAGCATACAACAGAAAATTATACAGAAACCTCATCAACTAAATATAATATCACATTTTTCAGTATTCAGTTTGTCCACCTTTCGTCTTTATTGCATCCTCTATTGTTTTCAGGAGACTTGCTTCAGTTTTTCAGAGAACTCACATCTCCAAAGTTCAGTATCAGACGTTTTGCATTTTCTGCTTCTTATAGCCCAAGTAATCCCAAACACATTCAGTGATGTTGAGGTCTGGACTCTGGGGTGGTCATTCCATTGTTCTGAGAACAGCAGCAGCTTCTTTGCTTGATTTGCAAATTTTCCACTTTTAAGTCTGTTTCCTTTTCTTAGTAAGAGCTTCTTGACAGCTACGCATCCTTTCAGACTCATGGCATTGAGTTGTCCTCTCACAGCTGAAAGTTGGACAGTATCTGAAGCTAAAGTGCAGCTTTATTTTTGCCTGTCCGTCAAAGATTAAAGCTTTAAGTGCTGTTTATCTGATGCTGACAGTTTTGGTGGTCTTGTACCAGGTCTTGTACAGATGTTAGGGGTCCCATGTTCTCTATATCTTTTAATAGGTTTTTGTTCTCCTGTTTTGTTCACTTACCTTACTTTGACTTTTTCCTTCTGTATGCAGATGAATGATCTTACATCTAATCTCCTCTGAAATATTTCCTGAAAATGAATAACTTGTACTTAATCCTTTGACTTGAAAGGATGGTCTCTGACTTGTGCCCAGTACTGTATATTACATAAGTCCAGGTTTTGGAGTCGGGCTGGACTTCACTGTTTGAGAATATGTATCTACTGAACAGTAATTCTGTCTTAATTTAACAAATAATACCAGTCCCAATTCTAAACTCAATGTGTGGTCAATATTGGACAATTTATTGTGTCAGTTTGTTACATTTCACTTTTGTGTTAACAGTGGCCAAAATGTGCCTCTTGCAATGAAACATTTTATTTTCCCAGCACTGAAAGTAAGTCACAGGACTAATTAGCCCACTTAGTTCATCATGGCTGAAATATGCTTAAAAAGCTGCTTTACAGGAAAAGTGTTCGTGCTGGAAGTTGCATAGAGCACATGTACGCTGTTAATATAATCGTCATGCCACCACTTAAAAAGATTAATAAGATGACTAACAGTTTGATGACAAGATGACTAACACAACTAACAGATTAATACGATGACTAACGCATTCAAACAGAATGCAGTTTTGGGAAAGAAGCAGAATAATGACCTAATCAAGTCCCAATCTAGCCAATTAGAGATGTTTGTGCGTGATGTAGAAGCAGGTGCGCGTGTCCCACTGCTATTTGTGGCTTCCAGTTGTCAGCAGCCCTAGATTCCTTTCCACTTCACGTTTTTAGCTGTTTTGGAGCAGATTACCTGCTGGAAATAAACAGCAATTTAGAAAAACGATTGCAGACATACAGTTAAACCCACAGTGAAATATCGAAATGTCCAGATAAGAACATCTTCTGTATGTTTAAGCAATAAATTTGTTGTATTTAATCTTTTGGAAATGTGGTAGTACAGCAGTGGGTGTATGCATGTCATCGGTGTTGTAAGAAACCTAATGGTAACTTTACAGAAGTAAAGAAGAAAAATGTTCTTAACTTTAATGTAGAAGATTTTATTCCAAGTACTTTTAAACCAGTTCTATTGGTCCATTCATTATCAAATGTAGTGGGAAGCTGGAGAACTTTGTTGTGTGGAGTTTACTTGAGCGGACAAAACCAAAGTGTAGTTGTTCACAAAATACTGTTTAAAATCTATATAAATGTATTTTTCCCTCAAAAAACATTTGTATGGACAGGGGATAAACAATAGTGGAGAGGAAATAGTGCTTTTGGTTTACGTCTTAGTTAACATCAGCTAAAAGTGAAGATATTTTAGCACTTTTGGATTTGTTTATTAATAAAATTATAATACATATTCTACTATGCATTCTGTATATCAGGGGCGTTGAACTCTGATCTTGGAGGGCTGGCGTCCTGCACAGTTTGGAGCTTTTCCTGCTTTAACACACCTGATTCAACTCATCTGTTAATGGCTAGGTTTAGTGCCAAATTGTGTTGGACGCCGGCCCTCCAGGACTGGAACTGAACACCCCTGCTGTAAATAACTGGATGTACAGAATGTCAGCTTCAATTAAGCTGTGTGTCAATGCGTCATTAGTTCATGCACAAAAGACATAACAAAAGTCTAGAGTTGATTCTAGTGGTGTGCTATTTGAACCTGCACTCTATTGCTCTTTTTTCATTAAATGATATGACCATAAATGGTTTTAAAGGGTTGGCCAAGATGGCCAGTCCCCCTCCTGCGATCTGATTGGCCACCTGATATTTTCCTTTACGAAAAGCACCTTTTAGGAGGAGAGCTGTTTCTTGTGATCAGTGGTCACCAGAACACCTGTACAACCTCTCTCCGCCCACTTCCACCTTTTTTGGAGATACCCTTGAAATAAAGTTAGCACACAACAGATAGGAGAACCAAAAAAACTCACTTTATTTCTCCTCAACTTTTTAACTATGCGATGACATCAAGTAAATAACTGAAAATAAAGTTTTACTGAAGTTCACATTTCTCTCACACACACACACACACACACACACACATGTTCTAAGCTGCTTATCCTTCTGGGTCATGGGGGGGAGCTGGAGCGTATCCAAGTAGTCATTGGGTAGAAAGCAGGATACACCCGGGACAGTTTGCCAATTCATCACAGGGCAGACAGACAGACATATACATCCACACACACTCTCACACCTAGGGGCAATTTAGCATCTCCAATTGGCCTCACTGCATGTCTTTGGGCTGTGGGAGGAAACCGGAGTACCTGGAGGAAACCCAGGAAAGACACGGGAAGAACATGCAAACTCCACACAGAAAGGACCCTGGTCACCTGGCCAGGGAATCGAACCCAGGCCCTTCTTGTAGTGAGGCGACAGTGCTACCGTGCCGCCTCTCAAGTTCAAATGACAAATAACCCAAAATTATTGTTGGCAAAAATTAACAAATAAATACAAAATATTAATAGTAGCTCAGCTACACCTCTAGTGATCTATTAGTGAAATGTTGAGCTGTTATGATCAAAGCATTTCAGATCTGCATGTCATGGAGAGTCAGAGTTCTCTGCAGTCCTGCATTTTCAGTGCTTCTCCTTATGTTCCTGTTCTGCCTCGTTGTGTTAATGAGGAGAGTAAATCAGGCCAGAATGAGCTTTTATAGGAGCAAGAGAAAGAGGATGGGGCCTGTAGGCAGGACAGATTCTCATAAAAGAGCTAAACACTATGCAGAACATGCTCACATGTACTCTAATACACACAGGGAGAATGTTAACATTAAGCAGTCCTTGTTGAGACCTTGAGCAAAGAGAGAGGAGTATGAATGTGTTTGCAGTGTGCTGCAACTTCTCTAATGTCACTTCCAAGGACTTTTTCTATCCCAAGTATATTGAAGTGTTCTCAGCTGTGATGTCCCCCTGCATCTACCTGAAAAGAGGAGGGTGGTCTTCGACTTTGCCCAGAAAGATACAGCTTGGCAGTGTGAAATGATAGATCAGCTGACTTATCTTGGAGGTTTTGTGTATGTATGTTTGTGTGTGTGTGTGTGTGTGTGTGTGTGTGTGTGAATCAGACAGCAGCAGTTGAGGAACTCCCTAAAAATGTCAGCACACATCTGTCAGCACTATCTCTCCCACAAGGCGATCCTCCTCTCCCCTCCCCTCCCCCTTACTCTCTCACTGTTTCTGTTCCTTTCTGTTCCTATTCATTATGTTCCTCTTTCCGCTCTCTCTCACTTACTAAACTGAGTTTATTAGCTCCACAATCATTGGCCATTTTATTCAGAACATCTACGATGTAGGTGCACTTCAAAGGTTTACGGTTGCTGACTGTAGTCCATTTGTTCCTGCACAGTTTATTAGCCCCCCTCTACCCCATCTAGCAATGAAAAGAGACCACCATATGACCACTGCAGAACAGATATTATTCAAGTGGTTATCCATTCTCAACACAGCAGTGTAACGAGTAGTAATGGCGTGGTAGTGTAAGCAGTCCTTATATTTTGGGTCTGAAAGGATGTGTAGCTGAAAGAAGCCATCACTGAGACACATATCAGTATCATGATAGTATATTAGTGTGATGGAGGCTCAGGAGTTCTCTCATATGATATTTGGCTTGTGTTATAAATGTCAAGGAAAGGTATTGGAGGCAAAACTCCATGATTTGTTTAACCTTTAATGCAGATGAATCTGTGTTTAGGGAAGGTCTGTTTTGTGTTTCTCTCTTCAGGTGGTCGTGATAAGAGAGGAGGGCCGATTCTGACATTTCCAGCAAGGAGTAACCATGACAGAATAAAGCAGGAAGATCTGAGAAGACTTGTCACGTACCTATCCACTGTGCCCAGGTCAGCAGCAACACTCCACACCGTTAACATCACCACATCCAATTACTTTCCGTATTTAACAGTTACATATACACCATACAACACTGATCCATAGAGCCTGGAGAGACACTGTTTTACATTGAATCAGCCTCTGTGCAGCTAGTAACTCACTGAGTGATAAAGCAGCCATGAAATGAAACACCATAAGGAGAAAATTAGTTTTGTTTCATGTTTCCCTGCTTTTCTTTGATCTGGGCATTTTTATAAGACTTAAATAAATTCAGATATTATAATATTAGCATAATTGTTGCAGATATTCCTGTGGCATGACCATAATTACACACTCAGTTTCTTATACTAACTCATTTTGTCTCAGAAAAATGGTTTTGTATTTACTAAATTACCAGATCAAATCATATCATAGCATTAGTGTTTTTTCTGTAAGTTCTCATATTGTTCTTTTGTATTAGAATGTGTAGAATAGAACAGTGTAGAGGGGGAGACTCTGTGATAGATGTATGAGCATAGGCGCAGCACGACATGTGCCTCGATGCGACTGTAGCATGCACCCAAAGAGTGCCTGAATTTAGATTTACTAAGACTGCAGCTTATCACACAAACTGCACGTAGCCCTGCCTGCTAACTGCTCACTTGTATGGTGCAGGGTTTAAAAGAAGAAGTAAAATAATGAACCTGTCGACAAGCTTGAGATGAAAAAAGAAAATGATCAGTGACAAAGAAAACAGAGTTTGTGAAACATGGATAACATGGATTGTGCTCACATATTGTGACCATATCATGGCATATTTTGTGCTATGTCTTCTCACATTACTATGTCTGGTCCTGAGAGCATGAACGATTCTCACAAGTTGTGTGTGGCCTCAAATGCAGATGATAAGGAAGTGAAGTTTTTCATGTACATGGGCCATAATCTGTGCATGTAGGCTCATGCAGCAGTTTATGCATAATGCATTGGCAGAATGTGTATGATTTGTGCCTGAAACTGATTTAGAAAGCTTAGTACGTCAGGCCCTCTGTGTGTCCGAATATTTCTGTGTTGGTCTGTTTGGCCTGCTGTTGCTGTGCCGCCAGTGCGGCTGAGGAGCTTGTCCTTGATTCTGTAGTTACGGAAACTGGTGCTTTTTTCCACAATGTCCTTGCCTCTGCCTATTTTTACCTGCTTTCTTATGGTAGCTCATGGGTATTTCCCCCATACAGCCTAGTAAAAGCTTTGTGTAAGTAAGAGGGGTCCAGAATAACTGTATGTGTATGTGTGTGTGTGTGTGTGTGTAATCATGTGTGTGCTTGTGTTATACCATATGTTAGCTCTGCCAACTGTTAATAGGAGTAGGAGAATGGCCTTGTTTCTGGTAACTGATCTGGGAAAGCACATGCTTTTTCAGTGGATTCCCCTTACGGGACGCCCCACTGCCTACAGTGACCCTGTTCTCCCTTCAGCACTATTACTGCACTCCCCACAGACCCGCTTCACCAGTGATTTACAACCAGCACTGCTAGACAGCTGGTGTCCTTCCACACAACTGCCTACACGCCTGCTTTAGCCCATCTACATATCAGATCACATGTCTCGCTGATGTAGTATGGACTGTTGCCGTGTGGCACGCAATGGTTAAAGATTACGATCAAGGTCAGCATGTAGTGTATTTACATTAGGCATGACTGAGAGGAATGCTGGCCTATTTTGTGAGGGAAAACAGTGTAGGAATGTTACAGCAGCAAAAACATTCCTGTTTTAGTTGGCTTTAAATGCACTGCGTGTCAGCGTGATTTTGTCTCTATGTGTGTCTACTTAGGTTTTTTACTCTGCTAGAGATTTGGGTTCAACTTCTCACCTCTGAGCTGTTGGCTCTGGTTGTACGTCATGGTGGCAATGTTATTAATTGTGATTATGCAGGTGTTTGTGTGCATGTGTGTTTGTGTGTGGGCATGTGTGTGTGTTTTTTTGTATATTTTTAGGACAAAATTGTCCTGACTTTGTAGAAAAACCTGAGAAAAACAAGGCTAATCTGCAGTGTCAGGATCAACAAAACAACAAAGAAAACACTTTGTAAAGTGCTAGTTTACAAAAGGTCAAGGTTAAATTAAAGGTTTAATTTTTTGTGACCACGTACAGTTAGATTTTATTACTGGGGGGAGGGGACTGGCTAAGCCTTTACTTGAACCCTTCTACATATTAATTGCCATAAACATTTCATGACAAATGTCATATGCTGGTCATGAATTATCATGACATATTATGTTCAGCGATATGACAGTGTCCTGTTACTATTATCGGTAATTGTCATAATTTATGTCATATTGTTAGATGTCATCAAACACTGACATCTATCATGACATTGACCAGTAATGGTAACATTACATTGTTATCAAAACCCCAGCAGCACTACTGTGTCTGATCCACTCGTATCAGCGCAACACACACTAACACACCACCACTGTGTCAGTGTCACTGCAGTGCACTGAATGATAGAATGATCCACCACCCAAGTAATACCTGATCTTTGGTGGTTCTGTGGGGGTCCTGACTACTGGAGAACAGGGTAACAAGGGGTTCACAAAATATATAAAGAAAGATATGGACTACAGTCTGTAATTGTATGTACTCCTATATGATACATGGTGCTGAAAAAATGGACAGTGAGTGTAGATACAAGGTAGTTATACTTGATGAAGTGGCTGGTGTGTGTGTGTGTGTGTGTGTGTGTGTCAGTGCTGGTGTGACTAGTATGTGTTGTGTTGTGATCACTGAGTCATTGATTAGCGCTGGTACTGGGCCTGTGTACTCAACTTCAAAGATTGCGAGCTGAACCCTGAACACAGATGAACTTATTAAGAGCTTAAATAGGAGAGAGAGAGTATAAGAGAACGAGAGAAAGACAGAGAGGAAGTTAGAGAGAGAGAGAGAGAGAGAGAGAGAGAGAGAGAGAGACTAAGAGAGAGAGAGAACAAGAGAGCAAAAACAGAGGGAGATTAAGTGAGAGTACGAAGAGATAAGTAAGAGAAATGTAAGAGATAAAGAGAGCAAACAGGAGAGAACATGTAAGAGAGAGAGAGCAAGAGAAGGAGAAGGACTGAGATAGGGACAGGGAGTAAGAGAGAGAGATGACCCTGTGACCTTTCACCATAGTCAGTCTGATGGGGGGGCTGTAGGTTTGTTAGTGTGTGGGTGTGAGCACAGCCTTGAGTTTGAGGTCTTCTGTCAGCTCTTCCACATATGACCCAAAGCCAAACACACAGGCATGACTATGTTGCAACCCATTGTAAGGGGATCTAGTCGTGTGTGGTCCTTTTACCCACTTTCTTAAGACCCTGAGATAGTGAGCTTCTTATGCAGTGTTTGTTATCTAGAAGCAGACATGCGTTTTTTGTCTCAGGTAGTGTATCTGCATCTGTGATCTGCATCTGGTTTACTTTGTTATGATAAATTGTACATTATTTCACACAATTAGATGTGTAGCATTCTTTCAACATTTATAAAAACTTCAATTACAACGACCAGTTTTTCTGCAAAGCAATAAAGTTCATTAACCATTAGCTATAGTTGCCAAGCAACAAACGGTCAAAATTATTCACTGAACAGCACAGTGTTTTTTAACACCTTGACATATTAATATTTAATATATTTGTTAAAATAAATGCTAATATTTAAATATACACTCTTTTGTCACTTTTAAGGTATACCTTCCTTGTATCTACACTCACTGAAAATTGTACTAATTTTTAAAATTTTATCTTGTAGATGCACTTTGTAGTTCTACAATTACAGACTGTGGTCTGTTTCTCTGCATAATTTGCTACCCCACCTTTACCCCATTCATCAGTGGTGTTCATTGGTGGTGGTGTGTTAGAGTGTGTTGTGCTAGTACAAGTGGATCAGACACAGCAGTGCTGCTGGAGTTTTAATAACAATGAAATGTTCCCATTACTGGTCATTGTCATGACAGCTTATGTCACATGCAAAATTTTGCTCTAAACTCTAGTTAGCTGTCATGTTAGTGTGTGTTGCGCTGGTATAAGTGGATCAGAGCAGTGCTGCTGGAGTTTGTAAACACCTCAGTGTCACTGCTGGACTGAGAATAGTCCACCAACCAAAAATATCCAGCCAACAGCGTCCTGTAGGCAGCATCCTGTGATCACTGATGAAGGACTAGAGGATGACTCACACAAACTGTGCAGCAACAGATGAGCTACTGTCTCTGACTTTACATCTACAAGGTGGACCAACAAGGTAAGTGTGTCTAATAGAGTGGACAGTGAGTGTTTGAAACCTCCAGCAAAACTGCTGTATCTGATCCACTCATACCAGCACAACACACACTGATACGTCATGAACACGTCAGTGTCACCGCAGTGCTGAGAATGATCCACCACACACATAATACTGCTCTGTGGTGGTCCTGTGGGGTCTTGACTAGTGATGAATGGGATGAAGTTGGGATAACAAATTATGTAAAGAATCAGATGGACAACAGTTTGTAATTTAGAATTATAAAGTGCCTTTATATGATAAGTGGAGCTGATTAAATGGGTTATAAATGTAGATACAGGGTAGGCGTACCTTATAAAGTGCTCAGAGAGTGTATTTAATATACATAGAATTGGCATGGACGTGTTAGTTAAGAGAATCCACTCAGACGCATACGCACATGCACATATACAATGACCCAGTCGATTTCTAGTAGACAGAACGGGTTGCATCATCAGTGTCAGATCACTGTGTAACAGTGCCTGGTGGTGGTTTGGGGTGTGTAGGGAAAAATCAATGGTATTGAGTCTGTCTCACTGCAGGCTATGATTCAGAGCTCTCTGTTCCCCACAAGGGCATGATCTGAACTTTTGGATGCCTAACTGTTGTGCAAACCTTTATTAATGTTTTGAATGCAAGTTTTCATCATGCTCATTGTATTTCTTTTTGGATTTACTGTTGCCTATTGGTTCCCTCTAACAGAATAATACTGCATTATTCGCTCAAAGTAATATTGCTGTGAAGGTTTGAAACATATATTTTCTCTTGCATTCTTTACAGCGTTGGGGTAGGGGTGACTATATTACTGCACAGATTACTGATTACTTTTTTAAAAAATGTAACCTGCAACCTCAGACTAAATTTAAATTACTGTGATAAACTTCTTTTTAAAGTCACATAATTAAATAAAGGGAAGTTAAACAAATTTCAACAAGATGTTTTTAAACAAGAACAGCAAAACTCCACTGTTTTATGAAACTAAATGATATGGGTGACAGACAATTGTTGCCAAAACTACAAACACCGAATGCGACATATTTGTGTTTCACTCCTCGTAAAAAAGGCATTGGGTAGTCTACTTTACAATCTGGAAAAGTGAAAGGACAGAGTGTTTCATCCCCTCATTCAGGAACTGAAACTGAAGATTTTCACTTATAGCCTAGTTTGAGCTGCTTTTGGAAGTGCACAGCAAATATGATGAGAAGCAGTCTTGGGCATTTATTGCTAAAGACACAACCAATCAGTCATGGATCAGTTGTTGCTATGCCAACCACAGATACAACAGAGATGTTGCATGTGAAAACAAAGGGCAAATAAAATAATGTTGCATTTTTGCTGCCTGAAAAATCATGTTCGGTGTGCAAGAGTGGTTTTAAAGTAATCCTCACAGTAATCACCCTATTTTTATAACATACATATAATCTTACTACTGTCTTTTTTGTGTAATTGTAGTGGAATACTGTTACAGTTTTTGGATCCTGATTACGTAACGCTGTTACATTCTGTTACTACACAAGTCTGCACTCCAAGGTGAGGTAGTGTGTAGGCTTGTTTTCTCTTGGTCATAGTTGCAAGCTATAGCTATTGCTATATGAGCTATAACTAAACCCAATGAAAACACGAAAACAGACACACACACACACACGCACACACACACACACACACGCACACACACACACACACACCTTTTTATGGAATTCTAAACACCTGAGAACAGGTAATTGCACAGGCTGCTTCCTCACATTTAGCTCTGTGCTGTCAGGCTTTGCTACTGTTGTTTGTGGACCAGTGACCCATAAACAACAGGGAATGCCAGGAAATGAAAGCAGCTCATTTTGTGCCTTTATTTTGTGATCACACAGGCTTTGTGCGGTCTCATTATAGTTTTGGATGTCTTGCATTGTGCAGCAGCGCAAAGACCTCTGCTTTGTATTAATTGGAGGTGTAGTGAAGCACACGCTTCAGGAGGCCAGGAGAGGAGCAAAGCAATTATTTGATATTTTTATCTTCCAATGGCTGCGCGCTGCTGCTGAAGGAAAAGCTAAAAATAGAAGCATTGCTGGATTAGAGCCTCTGGACCTGTCAAAAATTAGACCAGTTGTGTGCTGATAGATCTGAACTGGTGTCGTAGTAAAACGAGTATGTTATATTCAAAGATTAAGCTTGTCAGAGAAGATTCTGAGTTATATCAGCTCTATGGAAACCACAAAAAGAGCATCTTCAATTAGATACTTAGTTTATTGTTACCGTTTTACTGACTTTGGAATGCATGCAGGACTTATGAATTTGACTTTCACATGATTGTAGTGTGTAATAGACGTTTCTCTCTCTAGATGTTAGGGCAATCATTGAATCTAATTTGACTGAGGAAGATTAAGCAGTGGTCTCTTCGGATCAAGGCTCTCTTGGTATACTACAGGATGTCGATGTTGTTTTCTGACATCTCTTTCTCACTCTGTCTCTCTGTTTTGCTGTCTCTCCAGTGAGGATGTGTGTAAGCGGGGTTTCACAGTGATCATTGATATGCGTGGCTCTAAGTGGGACCTAATCAAGCCATTATTGAAGACCCTGCAGGAAGCGTTCCCGGCTGAGATTTGTGTCGCCCTCATCATCAAACCTGACAACTTCTGGCAAAAACAGAAGACCAACTTTGGCAGCGCCAAGTTCACTTTTGAGGTACTGAAAAAAGCCTGTGGCAACTGTCATATAATTGTAATGGGCGCCTGCCAGTGTTGCTGAATGCTCACTTTGTTTGGAGGATGTAATTAATTAATAGGCATGGTTAGCCAGAGGCATTTTTAATAGAAGTAAATGCCAGGCATTCATTTTTCCAGATTTAACAGCGTATGTAAATAATTTACTGAAAGTCTCAAAAGACTTTTCCCCAGTTGTTGATTTCTGTTGATTATGTTGTTTCTGATCATGTAAGAGTTAGAGAAGGAAATTTTATCTAGGAACATTACAGAACTGTCAGTGTAAATTATATGGCATCGCTCCTACTTCATTCTTTCATGTTGTTACTTGATTGAATCCCAGATATATTACTCTAAGGAGAAACAGAATCTCCCTCTCCTCTCTGGAGTAATCCGAGTTCTCTTTCTTCCTCTTTACTGCCGACAGACTAGTATGGTGTCAGTGGAGGGTCTGACCAAGCTGGTAGACCCATCACAGTTAACAGACGACTTTGAGGGCTCTCTAGAGTACAACCACGAGGAGTGGATGGAGCTGCGTGTGGCACTGGAGGAGTTTCTAGGCAATGCTGTACACCTCCTCTCACGGTTGGAGGACCTGCAGGAGCTTCTAGCTAAGAAAGAGTTCCCAGTGGATGTGGAGGGCTCGCGGCGGCTCATAGAGGAGCACACACAGCTGAAGAAGAAGGTGATGAAGGCTCCGGTGGAGGAGCTGGACAGAGAGGGCCAGAGGCTGCTGCAGTGTATCCGCTCCAGCGATGGCTTCTCTGGGAGGAACTGTATCTCGGGCAGTGCAGACTTCCAGAGCGTGGTGCCTAAGATCGCCAGCCTGCTGGACAAGCTGCACAGCACCAGGCAACATCTGCATCAGATGTGGCACGTCAGGAAGCTGAAGCTGGACCAATGCTTCCAGCTCCGCCTCTTCGAGCAGGATGCAGAGAAGGTGAGGGGGTTTTTGTGCCATTTATGATCCTCTGAGCCTTCAAGTTTAAGACAAACCTATGACACAACATGGATTGGTCAATGAGCTGTATTTCTTATATCAGTTATAATAAGCCGTCAGTTATGAGATTGGTATTGTGCGTTAGTTTTGTGCCTTATGGACACAGCACTCAATCCCCTCAGTTACCACAGTTAACCCTTCAAACTGCAGACTGTTTCCAGTGAACAGGAGTCATGGTGTAAATCGAAATAATTAATAATTGCCTACTCGTTGCTCATTGAAACAAATGGAGAAATTCTGTTGGAGATGCAGATTCTAAACTTTCAGTCAATACCACGTTTGTGTTCTTAAGTGGAAGAAGAAATTTAATAACTCACTGTTAAATTAAAGATGTACTTACATAATTAGTATATCGGCATTAGTATACCTTGTATCTCAATTTTTGTTATTTTTCAGTTTTTGACATAATTTGAAAAATACCTGTTGCCTTGTACGTTGTATGTAAATTTAATGATGAATGGACCTAAAGAAACAGCCCAAAATTACTTGGACAAAAAGCCTGGTTCCATTTACTTACGTTAAAAGTAAAGTACATCTTTTCCATCTCCTGTAAAGTTACCATTTTGGAGATACGAGGTTTTATTCCCGACAGCAGCGATTTATTGCTTTAGTATATATCAGCTTATTGCTGAGCTTATGGACTTGGACAAAACATGAATTCTGATTGGTTATCCTACATTCATCAGCTGCACTGATTGGGCTGCAAGTAGAACCTTACAACTTAGGATGCCATTTTCCAAAAGGAACCTTTTATGTTTTTAAAATTCAGACTCCATGAATCACTGCAGCAATAATAAACAGCACTAAATGATAAACTATCTGCATGTAACTCAAAACTTTAGACAAAAATGCCAAATAAAAATGTTTTATTTCTAAGCTGGCAAATATCTTCCAAGAAACTCACCTCATGGTGCTTACATGTACCTACAGACTTTGCAGTCTTAATTCCCTCGCATTCCAGTTATATGGGTACGATGGGCTTTCAAGTTGAGATGTGGCTCAGTCATTCTGTTGTGTGCTATTGTAAAAACATGTTGGGTAAACAGAAAACATGGTTGTGCTATAATAAAAGCCATGAGACCTTACAGTACAATGTCAGTAAGATCGATAGGTCCTTGAACAGAATATCCTAGGTTAACACAGTACACAGCACACTCTCAGGGGTTTCCTCTGGTTTGAATACACAGCTCTTCTCGTATGGATGCACTCCAGCGTTAAAACACATCCCCTGGGTGCACATGTTTACTCAAGGCACACGTCTTACTGTCCTTGCACTGGATACAAAGCACAGCTTGCACGCTGGGCTGGGATACTGAAATTTAATTCAGTGTCTGTGTGGAGGCGTTCTGCTCTAAAAAAAGCAATTTGTGAAACCAGTGTTCCAGATGATAACAGAAGTAGCATAGAATAGGCCTCCATTCAGTAATTCAGTCTATGTACTTTGTATTTGGCTTGCCCAGAATGTAAATGAACTGAAACTGTTAGAGACTGTCTTGCTGTTGGAACAGAAGATCAGCACTGGCTATATCTGAAACCTGCCATTGTTATGAAGTAGATGAGAGAGAACACTAGGCTACAAAAGAAGCCCTTGAGCTTGCTCAGATGTTTTGATTCCCATTGTCTCGATTTAGTTCATTTAGCTCTTGCTTTATTTGCATATCGCAGACTAATTAAACTAAGTTTACAGGAGGGGATAAATTTGGATGAACTGCAGTGGCCTCACTGTTCAAGGCTAGATTTCTGTAGAGTAGCTTGATATATTCAGTTTCTTGCAGATTTAACATTGAAGTATAGCACAGGCAGGCAGTGTGTTCCTTCATCGCTGGTGTGCTTATGGCCTCACAGTGAATCAGCCGTCTACACAGTCATGGACATGTGATTCAATCTTGCTGACAAATAATGCTGATCCAAACAGCTTGTCTAGCCTAGAAGCTCATACCACAGAATAGCTAGTGGCTAGCCTTGGAAAGGTTTTCTTTTAGTCTGTCTGGTTTTCTTATTTAATTTTCTTACTTTTCTTCTACACTTTGTCCTTCTCCTTGCTGTATCTGTCAGTAATTGTACTGTCTCTGTTTCTCTCTCTCTCTCTTTCTCTCTGTCTCTGTCTCTCTCTCTCTCTCTCTCTCTCACTCTCTCAGCCCAGTACTTTAGCAGTGCACCTGCTCTTAGAATTCTGAGCACTGTTCATTCCACGCTATTTTTTAGAGCATTTAGAGTTTAAAAAGAGGATTCTTTTGCATTCAGCGCTGCTGAAATGAAGGTCTTTCAGTGTAATCCCAGCGAAGGCTGCTCATATCTCCACAGCCCCAGATCAAAGACCATAATAAAGGCGAGCAGAGTGGGTCCAGACTTCCATGTGTGTTTCTCTTTAAGAGTGTGGGCTCTCGGGTGACCTCACTTTGGCTCTTTCTCTCTGATTACTGTATGTTTGATCTCCACCACGTTGGGTTGGAGATAATTCTCTTGACATAAGGTGGATGCCCTAAGGCTTGGTCAGAAGAGCTGTTTTGAAGCCTTTGCTCTATAGCAAAAGATTTTCAATAAAGATGTGATAGTGGGGAAATAGTCTGGCAGGCAGGCCCTGATGCCTGAGGGGAAGAGAGTTTTGTTCTGATGATTACATTTCTTTAGAGGACACTGTGTGATTTTTAATCATAAAGTCAATCAAGAGTCAGATGGCTTTTAAGATACGCACCTTTTGTTTAACCTGAGCAAAACAAAGCTGGAAGTCATTTGCCTGTCATTGTGCCAGACTTTGCTGTGTGGCAGGGCCAAGTGCAAACAGTCATTGGACTAATTAATGCTCTGGCCCATCCTTTCAGTCTCAGCTTAGACTTATTAGCTTGAACTGCCGATGTAATTTACCTAATAGAAAGGCAGACAAGGTAACAAATACATTGTTTATCATGCCTTGTCCTATGTGTGACAATTAGCATTAGCTCTCACCTTTAATTTGACATGCATTTTTGCCAGTCACTCTACTGAAGGACAGAGCAGTATTTGTGCTGTGAAAAGACTGGAGAAAGCAGGTTTTTTTTTTTCTCACTTTGTTTCTGACCTTTGCTTGGCATTAGTTCATTTAAAGGGTCCATATTCTCCTCTCTTTTTTATGAAACAGTTTGATAAAGTATGTAAACGTTTCAAAATATAGTATGAACTGTAGTACATACAATTAATATATATGGAAACTAACTGTTTGGAATTGTTTGTATATATATATATATCTGTCTATTTAGCCTAGAGCTGTTTAGCCCCACCATTCATGCTGAAGTTTAAGTAGCTAGTAACAGAGACATCAGCATACTGCTAGTGATTTTTAATGCTTGTTATGAAGAAAAAAACTACATGTACATATACAATGTGCAATGTGCAATACATGAAATGCCATTAAACTAAGATAATACAATGGTTATTGTAAGTTTTTAACAGATAAAATACTCACATTTGTGTGTTTCTTCAGTTGCTTGAACAGCCATCTTGCTGGTTTTTCTTTTTTTCTCATAACACTGTTTGAAGTGCTGCTCTGAAAAACCTTAGTTTGGAAGGCCATGTAGCCCCAACACTTCGCCCTGTCTCTCTATCTCAATAAAAGTGGGGCCACCCTACCCCTAGGCATGAACGTGCAAAACAGAGGGGTAGGGCTAAGTGGTAGAGGCAAGAGGTGAAATGGGACTGGTCCCAAGTAATGCGTTAGATATCATTAGCCTTAGCTAGCAAGTAAAGGTGATCTAAGCTGTTGATTATTATTATTATTATTATTATTATTATTATTACTATTATCATCATCTTCAAGGAAATTTTGATTAAATTTGTATTTTTGTAATTTGTAAATAGAAACTCAAATTGCCTGACAAGGTAAATCCTTTCAAAGGCACTCTAGCTGATATCTATGTAGGGAGGTTCCAGCCATGTTAGTACTTAATGAACTGCAACCTTGGAAATCTACTGTTCCCATGACAATGAACCAAGCAGCCCTTTCAGTATAAGCAAATGGCCCTAATCTCACTGATATACACTGATCTGAACCTTATAAGCCTTTCTCCTGGGAGGTTTCTTGAACTTTGTCAATGACAAGATCCTATTATCCTTTCTCTCTTTTTTTACATGACATGGCTTTTCATTAATTATGTACTACACTGTCATCATATACTAATAAAATGAGGAGGTTTCATTAGTTTTGAGTTATTTTGACCTCCTGTTCTCTAACCCTGCATTTCCCTCTTTGTATGCATGTCTGTAAAGCTTGAAAATGGGAGACGAGCTGTTTGTGCGTCAGAAACGAGTGTCTTGACTGTACTGATCAGCTTATGCTCATTTCTCTCTTCTCTGTAGATGTTCGATTGGATCAGCCACAACAAGGAGCTGTTTCTGCAGAGCCACACTGAGATTGGAGTGAGCTATCAGCATGCTGTTGACCTGCAGACCCAGCACAACCACTTTGCCATGAACTCCATGGTATGCAGTTCATAGACAGAAGTGAATCTATATCACAGGGCACGAATCAGCATGATGGCTAAAAGAAAAATTGATTAGGAAACCTAATAAATCTGAGTAAAGAATCAAAAGTGAAAGTCAAAGGTCTTTGTTCTGTTTATTAATTGTATGTATCATCCTATTTATCTTTAGAGCTGTACACTTAAAATCAAAAGTATATGTAAGTCATTTGGCTAGCAGTAAATACAGTAAATATCAATATAAGACACGGGCAGAAAGGCAAAACTAGGGAGAGATGGATAGAGGAATGCTTGAATAGATGTAAAACCAGATGGCAGCACTGGTCTGGTAAATGTGCGTGTGTGCGTGTGTGTGTGTGTGTGTGTGTAATCTTTTTAATCCCTTACTGTCTCACTGGTTTTAAGAGTGTATGTTATTGTGTAGAATAGACTTACCTTATTAGTATCAAACAGTGCATTGTTTATATGCCTCCACATATGTGTGATCTTTGAGCTACAATATTATTGATCACATGCCTCAACCAAAGCCTTGACCGAAGATTTTTTTCATGCACCTTCAGTAATCTAATTTTAGTTCTTATTTTAGTTAACCATGCACTCTTAAAATGAAGGTACCGAAAAGGGATTGATGCTATTAAAGAATCACCTCTGGTTCCCTAAACATTTTGGTCACACTTTATATTGATGGTCCCCTATAGAAGATCTACAGATGCTTAGATCATTAACAAACTTTCTTGTGATGGTTGATCATCAACACCACTGGAGAAAGGCTAAGGTTTAGGAGTGGGTTTAGGTTGGGTTGATGTTAAAGTAAGTGTTATGTTTATGGTTAGGGATAGATTTATTAGAATCTGTTATACTCAGTTTCAAATTCAGTTGCATTTAATAGACATATAATAAATATTAGTTAAAGACAGACTGAGTAGCTGCAAAGCATCTACATTTTTTGTTACCTTTTTTTTAAAGAGCCATCCATTGAAATGTTCTCTCAGGAACTAAAATAGTTAACAATTAGTTAACAAATACAGAGAAAATACATCTGCACTCTTTAATGCACACTGTTTATTTGCTGGATTTAACATATTGGGGGAAAATAAAACATAAAATGTGGTCTGTTATAAAGTTATGGCACAATTTATATTTAATTTCTTTTTTTTGTTGTTCAACGAATAAATAGAAATTGTACACTGATTATTTCTTATGACTGTATGATGTCGTCCTGTTTTTTTTCTCAGAATGCATATGTGAACATAAATCGGATCATGTCCGTGGCATCGCGGTTGTCGGAGGCAGGTCACTACGCGTCCCAGCAGATAAAACAGATCAGTGCCCAGCTGGATCAGGAGTGGAAAAGTTTTGCCGCTGCTCTGGATGAACGCAGCACCATCCTTGCCATGTCTGCTGTCTTCCATCAGAAATCAGAACAAGTAATGCACACTTGACTGTAGATGTTTTTGGAAAACTTTAACAATACATTCCATGCTACATTGTACCAAATGTTGGTGCTAATCTCCTACCTCAGCTGTTGACTGTGAAATATTACATTTAACACTAAGAAAGTGTACGAGGAAACTCTTGTTGTTGCTAGAAATGTAGGGCGCTGCCAGTAAGCACTTAGCAGATAATCAAGTCTAACCTATGACTTTTGAGGGTCAGGCGGAGTGCCCCTTCCTCTCTTTACTGAGTGTCTGTGCGTGTGTGTGTGTGTGTGTGTGTGTGTGTGTGTGTGTGTGTGTGTGTGTATGATTGTGTGTGTGCTGGTCTGTATCCAGTTCCTCTCAGGTGTGGAGGCCTGGTGTAAGATGTGTAGTGAAGGAGGGCTTCCCTCAGAGATGCAGGATTTGGAGTTGGCCATTCACCACCACCAGACTCTATATGAACAGGTCACACAGGCCTACACAGAGGTAAGCAGCTGATGTATTCATTTGATTCTCTGTTTAGTATTCGATAGCCACCAAAAATGTAGCCTAAAATAAATTTCATCAGCAAAGACCTTTAAATAAAACAGCTATTGTTAATACATGGAGATGTGAAATGTTAAATAAATTTATATAAATGTGTTTGAAATTATTGTTTGTTTAGTGAAATGCCTCATAAATTCATAAATTCATGTGGCATTACCTCACTTTAGTGTGCAACAAACTGCACCACATTTTATGTGGCCGTTGAAGCTAACAGAGCGATAGACAGAAATCACGTGTAGGAGCTAGTGTTGTTTTCAAGACCACTACAGGTGAGTTTAGACCAAGACCTAGACACGTCGGGTCCAAGTCAAGACCAAGACTTCATAACAGTCGAATCCGAGGCAAGAGACCAGGAGTGGCAACAACGAGACAAAACTGAGACTAGATTAATATTTTTTCAGAACATAAAAATAAAAAGAAGAAAGGGGAAAAAATTATATTATTTGTGAGTGTACTTCAAATTATCAGACAAGAAAAATGATAATTGCAAAATTAGTGATAAGAGGCTGGTTTATAATGGGGGCACAACAAGTTTGATGTATCTTCTCAAATATGTATCACACTGCCTCCGACTCAACAACTGCTGGGAAGTGGAAATGTCAGCTCTTTCTTTCTTTTTCTTTTTTAATTAAACAGTTTTACAGCAGGTTTAACACTATTAGCACAGTGCAGGAGTTGCTCTGCAGCTGCTATACCAACAAGATCATCACATTTATAAAAATTATGGTTTTAAGTGTAGACTTTAAGACTTGAATCTACCAGCTTGAGTGTTATTATTATGCATTAATGAGCAATCCAGTCCTCATCCTTCTTTATTCAAATTTTGTTATGGAAAATACAATTGTGAGCCCAGTATCAGAAATCAAATCAAGTCATGAGTTGTGTATAATGATGCACTTCTGATGATAATCATGTATTTCAGATTTGTTTAACATTAACCATCTCACAGCATACAGCATACAGCATATCTATTAAACATTTCATGTGTCAATCTGTAGTCTTCTATTCATGGCCTATACATCCTACCAGTAAGGGTGGATGTTTGTAAGTTTATATTATGTGTAACTGATATTGTATCATGAGTTATATTTGCCTGCCCATGTTTCATGTCTTAATTGAAAACCAACCATGACGCAAAGGGTCATGGGTCATATAGGTTCTTGAGTATGTGTATGGCCCTGTCTATCCAGTAGAAAAGAACTACATGGCCTACATAACACTGTCCTCATGATCCACTGTCACTCTCAGCCCAGACAAATCTAAAAATCACAGTGCACACTTTTTTGTTTCCATTTTCTTCATACCCTCAATCTTTTTTTAATTTAATTTTCATTTTAATTTGGAAAACCAAGCCATTTTTTTTTTACACCAAAGTGTTTTTGGTACTGGACTACAGAGGATGTGGTTTGTTGTAGTTAGTGTTCAAACAGCTGAAATATGCTGTGTAATGTTTTCTTATGTAGATCACTTTGGAACATGCAGCTCGTAGATACAGCTTTGCTCTGAAACTGCTACAGATTGTGTTTATGTACCCATGTTTTCCAACCACCGCAGAATCAATGGTGACCTTTTCTGGTTGTACTCAATCTAAATTATCTTTGTGGCACCCTTTGTGGTTCAGAGTCTATGATCTCCTAGACACGATGTTTTTCCAGTAAAAGGACATTTCCAGCTCTGGTGATGAGAGGTTATCGTTTGCAGTAAGCTGTGTATCCTAAAGGACACTTTATCCTTTGTGCCTTATTTAGTGACATCTTTAAAAAGAGCCCTGCAAGAGTCTCCCAAAACAGATTTAACAATTTTTGCCCTTTTCCTGCTGAAGGAGAAAACAAACCTTCTAAACATTCCACCCATTTGCCATAGAAATGTGATTATGGTTGAACAAACTTGATTTATAGAGCAGAGTGGAAAACACATTCAGAGGAGGGTTTGGTAGATATATTTTGATTTTTACATGCCTTAAAGCTCCTATACGTATATGTGGCATCACTACCCGTAAGAGCAAGGAAACACAATTGGAATAAAAGCTGAGTAAAATGAAGAGGACATTATTGTTGGACTCTCTCAGTGTCATTGTCTTTGTGGCTACAAAGCAGAACATGAGAAAGAGTTACAGATACATCAATATGGAATTTGGGGGCCAATAATGATTACAGTTTACAGCTTGTTCTGGCCAATACCACAATCTTTTTTTTAGCATTTTAAAACATGTTCACACAATAATCCATGTATGAAGTGCAAGACTGGCTCAAAGTCTAAAGATGGGTGATTGATTAATTTTACCCAACATGACAATTATTTTGCATCAAACATTAAACATTCTATGTATATATTCTATATGGCAAATGCATTTGTCCAGGGTCACTTAACAAGCACCACAGCAATGTATTCCATTCATTTTCAGTCATAAGCGCCAGTTCTATAAAATGTGATAGAGCCTGACTGGACTAGCATGTCGAATTTGGAGAATGTGGTGCATCAGAAAAGTTCAGTGGAGCTGAAATTTATGCAAATTAATCCTTCCAATGTGATTTGTTTACTCAATCAGAAATCAGGCGCTGTTTGCGTAATTGACCGTTTTGCCTCCCTTAGTTATTGTGGGCATGTCCTTCAAACTTTCACTACTGGCTATCTGGTGGCATCCATAATGCTTGTACTAACAAACTAAAAAGTTCAGTTAGAGAAAGAAAAAATTAGAAGCACACAGAAGAGTACATTTAAAATCATGTATCATTCAGAAATAAACTCGCTTTACAAGATGTTTAAGACCTGACAAAATATGCATTTAGGCCAATTTAAAGCAAGTAAAAATGTAAACCATGTTTACATAAATCAAAGCAGTGAAATCATTTGTAATCATTGCTTAAAGACAAAGATAAGAAAAAACCTCTTAAATGGCCAGTGCCCAAAATTTTATTACACACTTCTATAACCCAAGAATAATTCAACCAGATTGCATTGAAGTTCCTGTAGTTACTGAATAATAAGCCTTAGTATGTAATAAGCCTGGGATTTTGAGGGGTTAAAGCGGTATGTTTTCATGTCTAATAAGGAGGAGGTTTCAGATACACTGTGCATTGTTGCTGGTATAGCAGTGGCATCCCTGTCTGGACAAGGAATTCATCCCCATTGTCCTATGTGTGCAGCAGTAGTGTTATCCACTATGCTATCAATTAAAATAGTTGAATATTATGGGAATTCAAAGCACAAGAGACTATACACAGTTAATACATGTCTAGTGCTATAATTATTTAATGTCCAATAATTATTAAACATTTAATGTTGGACCAATAGTATTTACATTTTCATATTTATTAATGAATAGTATATTGGCTGCTGATATAACATGCACCCTTAGTCATAAGTCAGCTTGCCTTTGAGTTTGACTTCTAAACAGTACTCACAGAAGAAAAAGCTGCAATGACAGAAGAGGAGAGCAATGTTGGGACAGAGCCAATGATTTAGTTTAAAAGTGTTGGAAAAATCTCATGCACGGTGACCTGCAAACCTGTTTGAAATTCAGATGTTCTCTGTCCGCACTTTATTTTATGTGTCTCTTTATCTATCACTCATTTGCTCCCTCCCTCTCTGCAGGTGAGCCAGGATGGTAAAGCATTGCTGGACGTTCTGCAGCGGCCGCTGAGCCCCGGTAACTCAGAGTCGCTGACTGCAACAGCAAATTACTCCAAAGCGGTGCACTGCATACTGGATGTGGTCCATGAGGTCCTCCATCACCACCGGCGCCTCGAGAGCATTTGGCAGCATCGCAAAGTGCGTCTGCACCAACGACTTCAGCTGTGTGTGTTTCAGCAGGACGTGCAACAGGTAATAGAGCACGTACACACACATTTACAACACATACATACAAAATTAAACACATAGAGTGGCCACAAAGAGTATTAGAACAATTCAGTCACTGGTAAATTTTTGGATACTTAATGATTGGATGAAAATGATGTTTCAGAGAAAAACACTTTTATCTCAACATCAGACTAATGGTGGTCTTTGTGTGGAGAGAGACGGGAGAAGGATTTCAACCAGACTCCACTAAGACTTGTGTAAAGTCCACAGGTGGAAACAGCAAAGGGTCTGTTTTTCTTTCAGTGGAGTTGGTGAACTTGTGTTCGTTGATGGGATCATGAACTTAAAAGTGTACAAAGACATTCTGGATGCAAATCTGCAGAAGATGAAAGAAATTGATAACCATCTGAAACACACCAGCCACAAAGAATACTTAAAAAAATAAATAAATTATAGTCTCCTCATCTGTTATAGTCTGTTTCCTAACACATACTAAAAAAACTTTGGGGCCACTGTATATCCTTGCTGTCCAAAGGCTCCAAAATGGCAGTTGTACAAGAGAAGGTAAAATCTTTCTTACATTTAATGTAAAAAGATTGTATTCCAAGCAATTATGGTGCATTTCTATTGGTCCATGCATCATGAAATATTCACACAATGTAAAGGGCAGCTGCTGTGTTAATAATGTAGAATAATGTTAATAATGTTAATAATGTAGAAAAATAGAAATTGGAAAAAATGGAGATACTACTTTTTTTTTGGACAGCGACAAATTGTGTAGTGCAGTATCCACCGCTTGTGGATCCAAAATTTTTTGGGGCACCTGTATGTGTATAGTGACTGTTTATGAATCCAGATACTTTTTGGGGCCACTGCGTATGCTTAGTGACTGATTGTGGACCCCTTGTGGGCAACTTAGGCAGAGCAAAATAACGGCAGTGGAATGAAATGTTAACCAGACACTGGTATCATAAAAGTCTTCTGACAATATGAATTCAATACACATACAATATTATTGAGCAAATACTGCCTTTTTTGTTCTAAATTAATTATCACAACATCGTTCTCTCCACCTATATTGATTAAAGGAATGGTTCATGGAAAAATTCAATTTACACAGTTTTCCACCTACGTCAAAAACAGCTCTTTAGTTCTGCAGTGGAGGTACGAAACCTCGAATTTAATAGAAATCTGTGTCACCCAGAAAGGTTTTGGATGGTACATACTTCCATTACTTTTTAGCCACATTAGCCTCAAAGCTCCAATGCAATACTACACTAAGTAAACTTTGGACACCAAATATGTCTTGCCTGATTGTCTTTGTTTACGATAAGGGGGAAATTGTTTAAATTCAATTTTTAGTGAGCCATTTCTTTAAGGACTTACTCACAAAGCTGAATAAAAGTCATTTTTAATGGACCTTTCCTCAAACATAAAACATTAAGTGAATATATTCACCTAATTACACAAGCTTGCTTACATGTAAAAGTGCTGTAATATATCCATATAGAATAGATCCATACAGAGTACTGAGTGGGGAGATTTGTCAGCATTTAACCATAAATTTAGAGTTATGCATTTTTTTTCACGCACTGCATTTTTTCCTTCTAATATTTTAAGGGCTGGATATGAGCCCAGAAGTACAGTTAATATCCCCTGCTTGAGCCCCTGAGTCTCTGTGAGTCAGTGGTGGCTGTGAGCCAGATTTCACCCCAAAGATGCGCTGGCTTTATCAGTCCAGTGAACTTGCGGGACTGTATTCAGCCTGCTGTCGGAGCACTGCTGTCTAAACCTACACTGAAAAAAATTGGTGCTTTGACTTTGCACGATTCAGATGTGTCACACTTGAATAGCATATAAAATATGTTACATCAACACAATTACTTTCTTTAAAGTTATATTCTTTTGGCAAGAATTGTGTTGATGCAGCACATTTCATTCATGTGCAACCTTTTGACACATTTGGCACAAAGTTTTTCTGTGACTGAGCCAAATCAACATCTAATCATAACCTAAAAAGCCAAAGAGTCTAAAAGCCCAAGCCAGGCCAGCCTGAGCCTATAGGAGACCTGAACTGACTCAGGCTTAGCTTCACTTAAAGTCTGATGAATTATTCCTTTGCTTTATTCAGTCATTCTCTTATCAGAGTCTTTCCTATTCAGAGCTTTTCACAAATGCTCCCTGAAAACTCCTCTCCTATCCTGGGAAGTATTAGCTCTACCACATTAAGCCATAGAGAGCAGTCCTGGGCCCAGTGAAGATAAACTGTCTGCTCTTTAATAGCAGTCTTCGTTCTCACACTTTATCACTCCTTTACACATCATAACACCAGTTAATGAAGCTCTCCCGGCCTGCCCTGATAAGTGCTCTCCTATTAACATCATATCTAAAAATTAATTACCTGAAACAGTTACCATGATTGACTTCATATGTTAACTTAATTCAGGAATGCTAATATCTTGTTTACACAAATCTCGCCCCACCCTTTGCTGCTTGTAAAATTGCAGAACGTTCAAGTTTAAATGAACGTATATATAAATTTCTTTTTATATATATTTTAATGCTTGTCCACTTTGCCAGTTTACTTACTTGAGGTTTACTTCTCTCTTAAATGTTTGCAAAAGTTCAGTAATCTAGAGCACAATCTGCCTCAGAAGCAGCTTTCTAAGTGTGTGGTTAAAGGTAGATAAACATGCAATGGTAGGTTTTCAGCCTGAGCAAACAGAACAACCCACAGAAACAGTCTGAAGAGAAAAGTAGAGTGGATTCATGTGTTCGACAGCAGGAAAGTGAGGTGCAGGTCCACTTCACACACTGAGTCTGTCTGCCAACAACATACAGGCCTCCGTTTGTACAAACATCAGGCAGAGCATCATTTGGATTAAAGCTCTTATTATGTGTGTCAGAGCACAGCGCTGTGACCAGGAGGAGGAAAAATGCCAGACAACTGAGGGAAGAAACACTTTGCTACACAAACTATGTCTATATCAAATGTAGATGGTACACTAACACTGTGCTGGGTCAGACACACAAGTGGTTCTGTCAGGCTGCCCTTTTTTGGCAGCGTATAGAGCTTATTTCATTTCCTGGGTGGTGCTCCTCAGCAGCCAAATCAGTATAATTTAGTTAGCTGTTTTGTGATAAATAGCATGTTAACCTCATACACTTGGCTTATTATTCAGTATTTAATCTTAAGACTTATTGGGCCTGATTCAACAACTGTTCTTAAGCAGAAATTCCTTCTTAAAACCCACTTATGCAGTTTTCATGAAGATTCTGACATTCACTAATGTTTTCTTATTTGGCTTTGTTCTTAGGTAAGAACAGAATCTACACAAACTCAAGAGTACAAAGGTGCAAACAATTCTGAGGTTTAAAAACAGTCATTAGGACCTTTTTCAAGAACACATTTAAGAAAAATCTTAGGAAGATATTGGTGAATAAGGCCCAATGTTCAGTAACTACTATGAAACTAATGTGTACAAACCTGTGCAAAAGCCAGAGGTCATGCTCTTGTAATACTTGCAGAATGTGGTTTGGCATTGTCAAGGCCTTCCCCGAAAAAGACATCATCTGGATGGCAGCATATGTTGCCAAAACATTTATGTATCATTCAGAATTAATGGTGCCTTCACAGATGTGCATGTCACCCATGCCATGAGCACTAATGCACCCCTATAACATCATGAATACTGGCTTTTGAACTGTGCACTGATAACAAGCTGAGTGGTCTTTAGCCCAGAGGACACAGTGTTAATGATTTCAAAACCGAATTTCAAATGTTGATTTGTCTGACCACAGGACACTTCTCCACATCCCCTCAGTCCATTTTAAATGAGCTCGGGCCAGAGAAGGCAGTGATTTTCAGAAGTGTTCCTAAGTCCATATAGTGATTTCCACTACAGAATCATGTCTGTTTTAGTGCAATGCCACCTGAGGGCCCAAAGATCACGGCCAGCAAATACTGGTTTTTGGCCTTGTCCCTTGCATACAGAGATTTCTCCAGATTCTCTGAATCTTTTAATGTAACTATGTGATGAAAAGCAAAAGTTATATGCTATTTTATGTTGAGAAATGTTGTTCTTGAATTGTTGCACTATTTGCCCACGCAGTCTTTCACAGAGTGGTGGGCTCCTCCCCATCTTTATTTCTGAAAGACTCAGCCTCTCTGGGATGCTCTTTCATACCCAATCATGTTACTGACCTGTTGCCAATTAACCACCAGGTGTTTTTTTTAGCATTACACAACTTTACCAGTCTTTTGTTGCCCCCGTCCCGACTTTTTTGGATTGTATTGTTGGCATCACATTCAAAATAGGCATACATTATTCAGAAACATTAAAATCTCTCAGTTTCAACATTTGATATGTTGTCTTTCTACTATTTCAATGACATATAGGGTTTAAATACTTTGCACATCATTGCATTTTGTTTTTATTTACATTTTGCACAGAGTCACAACTTTTTTGGAAATGGGGTTGTAATTGTAATACTACATTTTTCAGTTTTTATTGTGTTCACCCTTTGCATTTAGTAGCTTTAAATCTTATTTTTCACACACTAAAAAAATGAACCAACAAGGTTGTTTGACATAAATTCCATCAACCTTAAATAAATGAATTATGTTGTCTTTAAGTACCTGTTTTATGTAAAATAGACAAAATTAAGCAAAGTACATTTCAGTAATTGAAATCTATCCAAAGAGAATTCCATTGCAGTGTAATCCAAATAAATTACACTGAAATGATTCAGCTTTGTTCCATCAACAGTTGAACTTGAATGTCAAAGTAAAGTCTGTGTATTGACTCTATCCCATTTGATTAAATGAAAATGTGTGGCATAATAGAAATTATTTATTAGTTCAGTTTTGGATGTTAGTTGCATTTTCTGCTTCTTTCAATCCAGATAATACCAAACACATTCAGGGACGTTGAGGTCTGGACACTGGGGTTGCCCTGACAACTAACAGCTGCACATCCTTTCAAACCCCTAGCGTTGAGTTCTCTTCTCACAGTGGAAAGATGGACAGAAACACCTGTGGATTTGTTCAGATCTGAAGCAAAAGTGGAGCTTGATATTCTCATATCTCAAAGATGAAAGCTTTAAAAACTGTTTATCTGATGGTGACTGTTTTGGTGATCTACCAGGTCTTGCTTGCTGATTTCCCTGCTCAAACAAACCAATTAAATATGTCAGTTAACTGCTGAAGTACGTCTTTGAGCTGGACACGGCCCTCTAGGACCGGAATTGATGACCCTTGCTTAAAGGAGTTAATCCTCTTCATTACTTCTCTTCTACATGTCGTATATCAACACTTATGTCAATAAGGCACTTTTTCTCCACGTCTCCTCTGTTTTCAAAGCCTTGGCCCTCTATGAAGTGTAGTAAGTTAGCCGGTGTAGTGAGATAAGGCCAGAGCTCCACTTTGTCTCTGTCTCTGTCTCTCTCTGAGCTCTCTGACTACTACAGTCATGGGGTTATCAGTAAAACACACAAGTTCTTGTCACTAGGCTACCGTGATGATATTGGCAACCTAGACAAATGAGGATTCCAAGTGGTGGCCGGTGGGCAGAGTGGAATTGTGACTTAAGGCCGGAGTCATAGAAGATCAGCAGCACAGTATTGCCCAGTATATGTTAGCAGGTAGTGGAAAGCGTTGATCCCATTTTCTCTCATTTTTGACATTATTGTTTAGCATGCCTCTATTAAATTTAGATGCAGAAATGCCTTCACAGGTGAAGCGGTTGAAAATGCATGATTTTTTTCTACAATAAAAGGACTTCTTATCATAAGGAGCATTTGCAAAAACAAACCTTACAAGCATCCTCGGCAGCGTAACCATAATCTGTGCAAGATTTTAGATAAATTACACTAATAAATGTAAATTCAGCACTTGTGTGTGTGGTTAAGATATATATACATACAATATATATATATATATATATATATATATATATATATATATATATATATACATACAAATGAGTGTGCCATATGTCTCTAAAACCACCATAGAGTCAAAATCCAACTAAAACTCAACAGCAGGGAAAATAAACCAAAAATAAAATGCTGTAGCATTTTTTAAAAATCTCTGCTTGGGGGCTCGGATTCTATCGTAGGCTGAGAACAATTAGCAGGTTCTGTGTACTCACTCTCTTAGCTTCAGTGTTCCTAATGGTCTGCAGATCTGCTGCACTTATTTTATTCTCAGGCCACAGAGGTTATGGAATACTTTCCTTCTTTATTTTTTTTATTTTGTGTGTCACACACAGGGACAGTTTTGTCAGCATGTTTACAACATTCTTTTTCCTTGTTTTGTTTGTCTTCATTAGTTCTTGTTCGCTCCGGAAAAAGCGTAATTAGGGCATATCCAGCCATAATCAGGCGGCTGTTACTCATGAATGTTTCTAGGAATTAGGACTTTTACTCACTGAACCACACTGCCAACAATGTCGATGTTTGTCGGGAAGTGTCGGATGGAAATCCACAAAAAAAGATTTCCAAGCCAAATGAACTGCAACCAGGACTCAAACGAGATGAACATTATAACAAGTGACAACCATCACAAACAGTTTTCCGCCAACTGCATGTTTAAATTTGTTTCTTGGTTTTTTGTTTGCTAATGTTTGTTGAGCTTGAGTGGAGGTTTAGAGCATTAGTCATGAAGACTCTCGGAGTGGAAAGGTAGTTTTTGATTCCCCTTTTCTGAAATGCATGTGGACGGGGGCAAGCTGATCCAAGATGAGAGCTCCTGCCCTAGGATTCTGTTTAAACACAGAGCCTGAACTGGTGCAGGGAAGTGAATGAAGCTGTATCATTAAACAGCGGGCACCCAGTGGAGTTATATTTAGTGTTGTGGTTCCTGTTCGTGCGAGTGTGTGACCTCTTTTTAGAACACGCTGTGGATGCTGTAATCAGCCACGCACAGAAGTCATCACAGCCCCTGCTGACGTGGGTTATAAACTTGTGTCACTCAAGCATGCAAACAAAAGAACAGGGACTCTCTCATGTCCAGCACTCGGTAGACTGACAGAAACTGTCAGTAAAGGACAGATGCATAAATGAGATGTGTATGTTCTGATGAGTTACAGCAAATAATGTAGGTATACACCCCCCCACACTCATACACACATACATTTACATAGTACTGTACAAAATTCAAAGTGCTGTGAACTGATGAAGTAAGAATGGAACTCTTTGGCCACAATCACTAAAGGTATGTTTGGGGAAAAAAATGAGCAGCATTTGAGACAAGAAACCGAAGCTAAAAAAGATAGAGATCCAAGACAAGAAATTCTGCAGCTTTTGAAATGGCCCTCACAGTCCTTTGTCCTCAACATAGTTATAAATCTTAAACATGCTGTGCATGGAAGATGACCCAAGAACGTTGCGGAACTAGAAGCTTTCTGCAGGGAAGAGTGGGTGAAAATTCCTTGAACAAGAATACATTGAATCCTATCTGCCTACAAAAAGCAGTTGTATCTGCCAAAGAGGGTGTTACTAAGTACAGACTTAGCAGGATCTCAGAACTTTTGCACAAGACACAGTTACTATTTTCCCTTTTTAAGTGAATTAATCATAAAGTTATGGGCTCTAACATTTGCAGAATTTTTTTTTTTTAATTATTTGCTGCAGAGGTTGTTTTCTTCGTATCACTTCAAAAATACACAAAATGTGTCATTTGCCCAAACTTTTGCATACAACTGTGCCCACAGAGTGAGTCAGTGATTCAGCTGGTTCCACATGAATAAAATATGCTGCGTCAACACAATTGCTTTCTTTCGGTTCTATTCTTTTAGCAATAATTGTGTTGATATAATTGTGTTGATGTGACACATTTGACTCATGTAATGTCAAAGCACTGTTTTTTCAATGTATGTATACACTGCATATAAACTTGTATATAAAACTGTTAGAATAGTAAACAAACTCCAGGGAATGCAGATTCCTTCAGCTAAACTGCAGTTGTTTATCTGAGCCTATACACTCCACAGCCCACCCAGATGAGCTCATCCCTATGGAGTCTCATCTTTTCATCATGCAATACTGTGTTCATATTTCACACACACACACACACACACACACACACACACACACACACACACACACACACACTCTTAAACTAAACTCCACCGTGGAGTGGGTGAGGAGTCTCGGGTCTGTGAACTCTCTTCACCCTTGCTATTTCTTCTATTTATAAACATTGTTCCTCTGCAGCGTTTTACTCTATGAGAGGTGAGTGACAGGGCACATTAATAGAGTTGCAGTTATGATGGTGTAGTCATGCTGTGGTTTATGTTAGCCCACACTGTGTACAGTGTTAGTAAAATCAAAGCACTGGTCCTGTAACACTGCCCTCTAATGCAGCCCCTGATGAAGTGGCTTCTGTGTGTAGTTTGACAGAGAGACAATAGTGATGGATCATTCCCCCTGTGCCAGAGAGAGGGGGCAATTACCGTCTCTGAGCAGTAGATTGTGTGGGTACTTACTTGGTGTAGTCTTTTTCCCCAAACTGGCTGGCCTTCTGAGCATGAATTTGATACAATATATGAGAAAGCATAGTGCATATTATTTTATAATTAAAAGGTTTTTCTGCATTTGTCATCTAACACAATAGAGCATTTGAAAGATCTGTTTTTGTATTTTGTCTGCAAAGGTGATAGACTGGATAGAGAACCATGGTGAGGCTTTCCTGAGCAAACACACAGGAGTGGGCAAATCTCTGCACAGAGCAAGGGCCCTGCAGAAACGCCATGATGACTTTGAAGAGGTAGCCCAGGTAAGAACACAACATGCCTTCATTTAATTGATTAAAAAGAATGATTCTGTGAAAAATCAAAAAAAGAAAAATAAGCCAAAGCTTTTTGTAAACGCATCCCTAAAACTTCTCTCAACCTGCTCAAACCGCTTCCAGGACTTCATTAAGGTTATGCAGACTTCACTTTGATTTGGGACAAATCGACTTACAGTGAACTATAAAAATGAATGAAACTTCACTGTCTAAGGCAGACACTTAAGACAATAAGTGTTGCGCTGAATTCCGGGTCTTCTATGTGCACACGGTTGGCACATGGTTGCTATAGATCACATTAGCAATTTCTGTGGTTTTATGTATAAATAGAATAAATCTGGAATTTTCAAACTGAAGATTTATAAAGAGAAACAGCAGAAATCATGAATGTAATCTAGCATCCATATCAATGCATGCTGGACATGCACGTGTTGGCACAACAGCTGAATGTAGTCGTACTGTGCCTTAAACCTCACGGACGAGGCTTTAATGAAGACCTGGATATGGTTTGAGTGGGTTGAGAGAAAAGATTTGAGTGACTGTTGAACTTCTAATGTTTGTTAGCAGATTTTTTGCCTAACCTTTCCCTGAAACCAAACCAGCACTCTATACATACATCTTGTAGCAGTTGAAAAAAAAGAAGAAAAAGAAAAAACATTGTGTGGTGAGAGTGGTGAGAAAGTTCAGCAGTTACTTAAAAGTAAGTTTACATGAGCAGCATGTTCTTTGCATCTGCTACAGTCCCCAACTGGTGCCCTAACAATTAATCCACAAGAGTCAAACCCACTGCCTGTTTTACAGTAATGACTAATGACGTCTTACAGCATAGAGTACTGAGTCTGCTCCAGTCAGTCTTGTTGAGTGAGGTATAGTGAAATATGTAACACTGTGTAACAGTTATATAATGGTGTAGAAATCAATCATATCATGTATATTAATGTTAATAAGAATCAGTAAACAACTGGGCACCAATCTTTATTCACATTGTGTAGCTTAGAGCCATGATTTTCAGTTACAGTGCTGCACTGTAAGAACAAACTTATTTTCCTGGGAACTTCATTTTGATTATTTTAGTTTCCTTAGGATTTGAAGCTTTAGCTGTGTGAAATTAACACTGTATGACAAGCCAATAAACTATTCCTAAGTGGGGTCCTTATGAAAACAACAGTATTTTATATGAACATTTCTTCCAAAACTGCTCAAATCTTAAACACATTACACTAGATGAGCAGAGACATTTCTATAAGAGTGTTAGAAAAAAGATTTTTTACATATATATTGTGTACACAGAAAATTTTAGAGGTCTATTTTCCACATAAAGCCTTACTAAGCAAGATTTAGCCAAATTTAATCATGTTTCTTTCCAAAGAGCTGTGTTTCTATTGTTTCCCATCACATAATTACTTGTGTTCCTATCAGATGCAGTCCACAGCTGGCTGACTTTAACTGCTCTTTAACTGGTTCAGCTATTACTTAGTGTGACTATGAATGCAGCTCACACAACGCCCAAGTTTTATCACCTATAATAGGTACTTGCAAGAGGTTACAGTGTGACAGAATTGAGGGTGAAAGTGTGAAAAGCTTTCTTTTTTTTCCAACTCAAATACTTGGGTAAAAATGACTCATTTTATATTGGATTTTATAGCTTTTGGCAGACACGTCCTGGTCTACAGCCTGTCGCGGTTGGCCTCGGTAAGACAGAGGCCAATCACATAAGTCTAGCAACTGAGACAAGTTGGAAAGGATCCACATTTATCTACAGTATAATCCAAGTCGTCTTCCTCCCTCTAGCTGAACAATGCTGCAGTAAAAGCAAATCAACCATTTATACTGATGTAGTCCCATTGAAAATTACTCTGCTGATATGATAGGGATGGTTATAGTATATTAAATACATTCATCTTATTACACATTGTACTAAAATGACATTTGACCTTTTTGTTTTATATGCATAGTGTGTTTTATGTTATGCCATTTCACAGCAGACTTTCTCTAAAAGGGCTATACAGCTGCTTATTTCCTTCAGAGCTGAAACCAGCTGCTTCTACCAGCATTCATGTCCTTCATGGCCTAAATCAGGTGACGTTGCTAAATGTCCGTGTACACTGCGCTGCTCTGAGGAAAAGGACTGCCTTTCACTGCAAGGGGAAATCTAGTGGGATGCTTTGCCTACAGAACTGTCCTGCGCTGTCATGTTCCTGAACCGTAGTACACGTGAGCATAACTTTAGGGTCGATATGATTAATGTCAACACCATCGCTTAGGGCAGTGTTATAAAGCTTTAAAGCTGTGTAATCCTGGCATAATTCTGCAGCTTTTTTCATGATGTATTTGCATGATTTGGGTCATATGCTGTTTGCTGTTTCTCAGGAGGAAGAGCCTTTAAGGCTTTGTTGGAGAAATGTGAGCTACAAACTTTTTATGTTTAACAGAATAATAGCATAGTGATTAGAGTCATAAAAAAAAGAAAATGCAAATCTGAATAACAAATTATAAGTGCTGATTTAAATAGTGATTGCTAATTTTTGCACTTCTTAATGTGAATAAAACATTGTGTCATTAGAATTAATTGGCCAAAGATTCATTTTTTACATATTTCCCCCCCCAAAACAAAAACACACGTTTAATGAACTAATCCAGCTTTGTTCAATAAATCTACAGGTAAAGCCTTAAGGAATTAGATTTAATTGGGTTGTAAATAAATTCCATAAATCAGACTTTACCCCACTGTCAGTGTGCACTGACGATTAAACATTTCACAAAAGAAGATTAGAATCACAATACACTAAGCCATATCTCTCGTACAAATATAATCTACTAATGCCTCTGTGGATGAAAAATCCTATAAACAGGCAGAGAGGCACAAAAGCTCCAGCTTACTGTCTGGTCATTGGCCTGAGACACATGCAGGCTGACTTAAGTGAAGGGGATTTATTTTGGCTCAGCTATTGTTAATAACCACAGAGACGAAGGCAGTCTTTGTTTCTTTGGTTATCAGGCTCACAGCAGTGTGGGCAGACCTTCAGACACCAGCAAGAGCTTATGAGTGAATTCAATCAATTCAGCCAAAAGCTGGGTGGAAAAAAGCAGCGAAATACCTCAGTGCAGTGCAGAGATCAGAACTGCATTACTGTCGTAAAGAAAGGAAACCGAAATGGAAAAGAGAGCACCACTCAGAATGGATTCTGTCTAACTATACTTTATACATCAGTGTTTCTTTCATACGATATATCAGTGTTCATTATAAATTATCCTACAACTCTGTCTTACTGAAAGTCCAACATTATGTGTTTTACGGACATTTTGGTGGTTCCTGACTTTTGAATCACCCTGCTTATGCACTACTATGCAAACTACCCTAATTTCCAGTTAAAAATATTCTTAAGTACAAGTTTTTTGTTTTTTTTAGGAGATATTTCTGAGGAGATAAGACACAATTTGCATAATGAAGGGAACATTTGAAAAAAGCAAGCAAAAAGCTAAACAAAACTGGAGTTCCAATACATTATTAAAAGATATAAAGAAAATGGTAGAAGTGATTGTCTGTCCTTCCACTGAGAGAAGACAACTCAGTACTATGGGTCTGAAAGGATGTGTAGCTGTCAAAAAGCCCTTCCTGAGAAATGGAAACATACAAAAACGCAGCAATTGAACCTCTGAGATGTGGAATAATAATGGATGTGGAAAAATAAAAGCTGTAACAAAGGCAAAGAATGGAAGTACTAAATACTCAAAAAAGGTATATTTAGTTATGTTAAGGCTTCTGTGTGATTTTCTGTCAAATATGTGTTTTTTACTTTTTGTCTCTGTTGGTGAAAAATTAAAACTTGTAGTTAGCGGCCGTGTACTCTTCTATTAGCTTTGACCTGCTATGAAGCTTTTACAGCAGTAATAAAGATAGAATAATTCCTTATATTTGGCACCCACAAACTTCAGATTGAACTCAAATGTAATATGTAGAACTAGTCACAGGTAAGAAATCCGGAAAGCATCATCCACCTCAATAAAATGCGCCGTAATAAAGCAAATTATTCTATCGGATGTACTAAAGCAGCGCAACTGTCGTCCCAAAAGCCCACTGGCCTGCACAACCAGTTTGCTCTTTAACAACCCCTTACTGAGTTGAAGTGGGGATGTTAAAAAAAGGAAAGGGTTGAAATGTGCAGGACAGTGGGCCTCCAGAACCAGAGTTGGGAGACACTTTACTAAAAAAATAAAAGCTTTTTCACAGAACATTATGAAAACTTGACTTTTTAAAAGGTTAACAGACAATTTGTAGTTTAAGCAGATATAAGGTCTTTGCTTATTTTTAGAAATAAAAAAGGATTGAAACCTCTTGGATTAAGCATATAAAATGGCTTGAGTGCATACTGAAAGATTAAGCTGTGGCACTGTAGTAGATGGCCTGAGTGTACCCTTTGTGTCCTGTCCCAGCAGGTGAAAGTAACTTTAATTATCTTACATTAATTACCAGACCAGACATATGACCACATTAGCATACTGTGTTCAGGTGAGGGGCTGTGTGGATGAGGCTATTATGATGGGAATCTCCTGCTGAAAATCACCTACTCCGCCAGCTTATGGGTCAGTAGGTCTGTGCATTTGGCCAGCGCTGTACCACACGTGCACATGAGGCGATAATCCCTAGTAGCTACGGCTTCTCTGACAAGTGTTGTGCAGATCCGAGAGGGAGATAGAGAGGCGACATGCGAAGTGTGTGCCAAGTGGGGATTACCATGGGGAGATTTGCCCTACAGATGGCTCTCCCTCCTAGCTTTAACGTGTGAGGGAATTGTTTTTTAGGATAATCACAGGAGGTGATCATCATGTGATTTGGGGTGGGAGTGTAAGTGAATCAGACAAGCAGTGTGTCTCTAGCAGTGTGTCTTCGTTTACATCGAATCTAGCAGGCGCACAGCTGTTAAGGGGTCAGCTATATTTACATCTGAGGTACCTTTTAATGACCTGACATTTCTCTCTGTGTTGGTTTTCCCTGGATCAGAACACCTATACTAACGCAGACAAGCTGCTGGAGGCGGCCGAGCAGCTGGCCCAGACGGGCGAGTGTGACCCAGAGGAGATCTATAAGGCAGCGCGGCACCTGGAGGTCAGGATCCAGGACTTTGTGAGGAGAGTAGAGCAGCGGAAACTACTGCTGGACATGTCCGTGTCTTTCCACACTCACACTAAAGAGGTAAGGTTTCTTTAAAGGAATGTGCCATGTTTTAATACTAATCTCTATCTGCTGTATCTCTCATATACAGTCATGGACAATGTCCGTGGTAACAGAAAAACCTATTGACTCAAAATACTTAATAGACGCCTATTGGAAGGTGCTATGCGTAGAGATGCATTGAAATGATTGTCTATGGTAATGAACAGTGTACCGCAGTACTTCAGTGTGTATTCAAGATCACCTTTCAATAACTGCATTCTAATTTTAACTGAAAATACAAAACTGGGTGCAGCTATTTTGTGCCTATTTGTAGGCATTGCAACGGACTGAACAGGTATGCGAAAAGCAGAGAACGCTGGGTAATGTGGTCTAGAGGTTTGTAGACTTTCTGAGTACCACAGAGATAGACATACCAGTCATTCACTAGGGATCAGGTTAGATTACTGAGGTATGCAGAGACTCTTTGCAGTGTTTAACACTCACTCAGCAGTACCAGATGTGAGAATGCACGATGAGAGACGGTGTGTTTGTGTGTATTTGTGTGTACAGTGCCTGTGAAAATTTGGAGACACCTAGTTTTTCAATACACCAGTTTTTAATGCACATGAGCATGTTTTCTTTGTTGATTTGCAAATCAAACAATCAAACAGGGAAAAAATATTTTGAGAAAAAAAAAAAAACATGCAAATATTTGTAACAATGTTGCTTTGGGAATAATGCCGTAATGTCTAATTATAATGCAGTAATGCCCAATGCGCTCATCAGCAATCAAATCTTGTTTATACCACCTTTTGGGAATAAAGATCATTGTCATTGTAGACTTTCAACAATAGGTTGGAAAACAAAGTTGTCAAATTATTATTCAGGTAAAACCTGACTCTTCATATCAAAGAAGATACTTCAAGTGTTACAAAATATATGCAAGTATTAGTGACTAGTAGCGGTGTAACAACGCACATATTTTCAGTATGATTTATGATACTGAGTTCATGATTTCATTTGATTTTCAATATGTGTACAAAATGACTTGATTCTGCAGGTCTCTAATTATGTACTACACAGATTGGTATGGCTCAGAAAAATGCAATATTTATACAGGTGTAAATTAAGGTGTTAAGGTGTTATGCAGTGTTGTATTGAAGTCATTACACATTACACCACAAAAATCATATTTCAAAAGAAGGCCAGGTGTTCTGAATCATTTGACTGGCTGTGTACATTTGCATCTATATATGTTCACTGATAGAAGCAAGCCAACGAGTGCTAAGACGCATCATTTAAACTTACTGCTACTGTAATCTGGACTGATGAGCAAGTCATACATTCATTAACTCTGATCTTTCTATTTTTTCCACACTGATTCCAAAGCAGCCCTTACCATTACTCACACAGCCACAGCAAAGTAAATATTTCATAAAGCAGATTAGATATCATCCATCTCAGGCAGAGTGGGCACCATCCGTCTCACAGAGTCCTCTTGGAGTGAGTCGCCTTGCTGGACTGCGTCTGTGCTTTGGCTTCCTTAATGGAGATGTAGTTTGTTGTGTAGTTGTGCTGATGGATGAGATTCAGGGAGAGACTCTGGGAATGTGGTTTTATAAAGATTCTGCTGCTTGTCTGTGAGAGTTTAGAGCCACTAGTCTGGTCTCCCTGGAGGATATGTCATGCTAAAGTGGGGATTATATGTGTGGGGTGAACCACAGCTCTTACTGGGAGAATAACTGTTGAAATGAGTCCAAAGCTGAAACTAATTCCACTTATTACTGTTTATGGATGGGATGTGCTGTATTTGTTAGAGCTAGGTATTGCTACAGGCTCATTGAACCTATATTATCACAGCACTTGAGCCATGACATGATTTTGTTGTGATTTTGTGGGATGTTTTGAGCATTGTGATGTCTTGTGATCTTTGATTGCAAACAATGCCTGAAAAAGAAAACTTTCTCTGTTTTATGTAAGAAAGATTTAACATTGTTGATCTCACTTCAGTCTTATTTACTGAAACAAAGCAGAATTGTGAAGTAGTCCGTCTGTGTTTGCATATTTATGAGATTCTCTTATCCAGAGTGATTTATGGTGGTAGGGGAATGTAATGTTGGGAGTCTTGCCCAAAGAGACTTATTGACATAACAGTGGAGTTTCTGCCTGGACGAGGAATCAAACAGAAGACTTTGTGGCAGATTTACTAAAAAGAGCTACTAATTACTATCTGTCTGCTGACACTTTGCACCCATGAGGGTGGCCAATTTAGCAGGTTATCTACTAAGGACTTCCATGCAAAGGAGCACAGGAGCTCCTATAACTGCACTCCTATAAACTCCTATAACTGCATGTGCAATGAGGTAAGATCACAAAAGAGCAGTAAATGTGTTCATATGTAAAGAAATATGAGATCACATGTGAAAACGTGTTCACAACTGAAAAACTGTGTGATTACTTGTAAACATGTGTTGCACATTTCACATGAGGAATATATGTGACTTTTCTGTAAGGGAATATGCATATAATTTAGTATGTCATTTGGAGCTCTATATGGTACAGCAGAGTTGTGGAGTTGTTTTGCCATTTTACCTTTTGTAACAATGCAATATGTCCACATATGTGCTTCTCATTGCCAGTAATTAACTAGTAATTTTGTTAACTTTTATAATTAGAAAAAGGAATATGTATTATTTTCAATATTTACTTAATCTCATTTCTTTTATGATTTCCTTGTAAACTAAAGGAATGTAAACTAAAACAAGAAAGTGTAATATCATTGTTTGTATTTCCAAAAAAAAGAAAACATAAAATTTTAGTTGTTTTAATTTTTTTCAAATTGGGTCCCAGTATTTGTCATATTCATGGGAATAACCCATATTGTATAAATGTTTTTTCTGCCACTATTATTCAGTTGTATTGCTGTATTGCTCATAAATACCCTGCTAATTGTACACTATATTTACTTATTTATATACACACACACACACACACACACACACACACACACACATGTATATATATGTATGTATGTATATATATGGAATTTCTGAAAAGCTACTTACATGATTTGGTTTGGCTGGTTTTGCAAATAGTTTCTAGCCTTGCTGTCACATGGAGTGTGTGTGCCCTTGTATTTAGCTGTTTGTGGCACTCTAATGTGCCCAGAATGTCAGGAAAGCATGAAAAAGTGATGTGTAGAATATTTGCCTGGTCCTAAGAGTTTTTGTTTGCAGAAGTTAAAGAGCAAAAACTTTTCCTTTCTGATAGTAAGGTTCAGGTCGAGGTTGGCTTTGCATGTTGGACAAGTGTTTTTAGCTAGCAGTAATACCAAAGTCAATAGAAATATCACAAGAAGATAGGAATACAAACTTGCCTGTGTGTGCTTTTGTGATTGGTACTGGTCTTCAGCCTCCAGGGACAGGGCTATAAAAGCAGGGGTCGCTCAAAGGTAGACATCCAATCTGTGACCACATTCGCAGGGTCAGATGGAAACAGAAGGTCTGGCTGAGAGAAGGCTGTGAGGAAACAGAGAAACAGAGTCAGAAGCTCCACTCTTACTGACCGCTTCTCTGACAAGCTTTGGCAGGTTAGCATGAAGCAGTTCTGAAAACTTGGCCTGCTGAAGCAGAGCAGACCAATGCCAAGAAAAGGCCTGCGAGCAGCTCTGAGGTCTATAGCGGGTCTCTGAGGAGAGGGGTGAGTGCCAGCATCAGTGCAAGAGCTGCAGCCACTCTACCTGAATGCACTCCACTCACACTGGCTTACTGGAAGAGATCTCTGTCAGGAAAAGCTGTTATGGGCCCTGCTGGTCCAATAAGTCCTGATATGTACAGACTTAAGCCAAATCAAATACGTAACCGATGTCCCGGAACATCAACTTGGATCAATTTTGGAATGCTGCATGCTTGACTTGTTTTGACTTTTTAAATTTAATTGTCTTTTGGTGAAGTATGTCATTCCAAAACGTACATATGTACAGAGCATTATTATATATATCTACGTCTGTCTTTGAAATTCACTTGATCTGTTTTCCATCTTTGCAGCCTCCTACTTCTTCTGCTCCATGATATAGCTTTAGCTTTGTTGATTGATGTTAAATACACTTCATAAAGGAAGCACATAAAGTAGCAATTAACTTAAGAGAGAACCACTTTTGCTGCGTGTGCAGGAAGAAACTTGTTAGCATTTTGGAACGAAGTCAAGAGTGGAGAGACACGCCCCTGCAATGCGCAGTAGTCAATATGTGTGTGTGTGTGTGTGTGTGTGTGTGTGTGTGTGTGTGTGCGTATGTGTTTGTGTGTGTGTAGCAGGATAAAACACATAAAACACAAGATTGATCAGTTGAACCTCTGTGTACCACATGTGCTGTGAAGCTGCTGTTAAAAATGATGCATCTTTAAGAGATATACTATGGAAACCTAATCCTGCCAGGCACAGGAGGAAAAACATACACCTACAATTTTTCTTCTTCTCTGTTTCTGGCAGCAGTGCGTCAGAATTTTGACTCCATATCTCAAAGTAATGACTTATTATCTCAAAACATTGACTTAATTTCTTAAAATAATGACTTATGTTCTCAAATATTGACTTAATATCTCAGAATAACTGCCTATTCTCTCTAAAGATTTACTCATATAGACTTAGTAACTTCTAATAATGACCTCCTATGTTGAAAGAATGACTTGCTGTGTCAAAATAGTGACTTGGTATCTCATAATAATGACCCACTTCTTATCCCAGAATAATTACTTACTTTCCTTACATTTTATTATAGTATCTCAACATCTCAAGAAAAAAAGGCATTATTTTCACCTTTTCAGTAAATATTTTGAGAAAATGGTATTAATTTGAAAGAAAAAGTGTTATAGTTTGACATAGTTTGAAATTAAAATATTTTGAGATTAACAAATCAGTTTCCCAGTTTTGTGACTCGATAGAAATCAAATCAAATTGTGAGTGTCTTGTTGCACTCTTAGTTTACTCCAAAAGTATCTAGACACCCCTTCAAATTAGTGAATTCAGCTACTTTAAGATGC